TTGAGTTTCAGTTTTTTGGCCCTCATCCATTCCCTTACCTCGGCCAAGCACCGGTTCAGCACAGCCACTGCCTCACCTGGATTAGTGGAGAACGAGAGGTAAAGCTGGGTATCATCAGCGTATTGATGATTCCGCAGCCCACACCTCCTGATGACCTCTCCCAGCGGTTTCATATAGATGTTAAATAGCAGTGTGCATTTCCCCCTGCACTGAGTAGCTGCAGCCCAAACCTGAGATTAGGAATGTGTGCTTACAGCTCAAAGTGATGAATTTCTTCTCACCTTTTCCTTCACAGAACAGCGTTTCCCTCCTTTCACAGCCTTCCCCCCTCACACAACTTTCAGGAGGGGCAAAATAGAGGCAACACTGACAACAAAGCCGCTGGTGTCTCCTACACCGGCTGAGGGTAAGTGTGTAGGCATCCTCGTATTGGTCACCCGAAGAACTTCCTCTCCAAAAGAGGAAAGTGTTGGAGGTGGCAGGGGGTAGGGCTCTCGTGAGCCAACTTCTGGAATTCCCACTACTCCTCTGGGAATTTCCTGCTCTGGCCCTGATTTTCAAGACTGGCATTGATCTGCTGTAAGCGTTATTGTGAGCTTAATATTTCAGGATGTGTAAGGGACAGAAGCTCTGGTCATCAACTGCTTTAGTGCCACCCAGAAATGTGGGGAATTCTCCCAAGGAAAAAATAAGATAGGATGTTGGGGAGCCATATTTTGGGGTCTCCAGATGCTCTAGCCTGTTTTAAATGCTTTCCCTTTTCCTTGCCCAGGAACCCCTGCTGTGCGTCTCATGGGTGGCCGAAGCCACTGCTCCGGGCGGCTGGAGGTGTACCATGAGGGGCAGTGGGGGACGGTCTGTGATGACATGTGGGACCTGCTGGATGTTGCCGTGGTCTGCCGGGAGCTGGACTGTGGAGAGGCTTTGGCAGCACCAGGCGGGTCTTTCTTTGGTGAGGGGACCAGCGTCATCTGGTTAGATGACGTGCAGTGCCAAGGAGAGGAGGCCACACTGGCAGAGTGCCATACCAGCCCCTGGGGGACCAACAACTGCCGGCACACCGAGGATGCTGGGGCTGTGTGCTCAGGTGAGACCAACATGGCAGCACTGTACCACGGGTTTAATAGCTACTCACCCTCCCCAGGGAATTCTGGGAACTCTCATTCTTTGAAGGGACAACGGCATCCTCAGCATCTTCCTGAGCTATTCCCAGGATTCTAGGAGGTATAAAGTGAATGCATATTTGTAGTTAGCTATGCCATTTGCTTACTCAGTCCACAACTGCTCATCTAAATTATCATGTGAAAGTGTTACCCTGCACTTTTGCTTGGTAGGGGTTACATGATGGACCTTCAACCCACAGGTGAGATGCCCCTTGCCATGGTGGAAGAGCATGTGGCCATGCTCACAAGGACCCTACCACCCCAGAGACCCCGATCTGCAGCCCCTCAAAGAATTCCCCATCCCACTCAGCCTACAAGAGACCACAGAGGACCTGTGGCTCATGAAGCATCTTCAACAAATAAGAGTTCAAATGAAGGTCTTTCAGAACAGGAACAAAATGGTGAGTATCAGGAGCTGATGAGTGTTTGCTTCCTTCCTAAACCTCCGGACAATTTCTTGGGCGCTTTTCTTGTTCCAAACATACGGGTGCTGATATTATTAACAGCTAGTGAAATGTAAGTTTTGAAAGAAGTCTGATATTGCATTATGATGTATTTCCCATCCTTCCTTCTCTATGTTGCTTTAAAAAGGTTGTGGAAATCGAGTAAGTGTTCAAATTGCAAATGAAAGTATCGCTGCTTTCAAGCCAAATTTCACATTGCATCTTTGCATCTTTCACACCTCCTATGAAAGTGAGCATTGAGGTGTGAGACAAAGAATCGTGCCTGGAGAAGGCATGCCACTTTATTTTATGCTATCAGTGGTGAGGGGCTGTAGGATTTTTCAGGTGCTCAGCTCTGAGGTTGGAGACAGTGCTGGGACCCAGAGCTGGCAACTGGATGTCTGTCCCACCTTCCTGATGCCCCTGAAGCATGGAAACAACCATTACAGCTGCTCTCTGACATCAGAAAAACAACTTCAGAGAGGGGCATTAGGGGACATTCCAGGGAGCAGGAGGGGAAAGTGGGGTGGTCAGTATACCAGGACTTCTTCAGCCACCTCCCCTCCTTCTTCAAAAAAATTAAATGGGTGAAAAAAACTGTCTAGCAAAAATGCAGGTGGGGGGAGGATGGGGAGGTGAAGATCACCTTTGCTATTCCTCCCAGTCTGCACTGGATACTCATAAGCCTCCAAGTTCGGGGGCTTACTGGTATCCCCACAAGATTGTGTTTTTAATTCATTTATTTTTTTCTTAGGTTTTATTTGTTTTTGTTTTTTTGTTTTGCTAAGGTTGTTCTTGTTAAGCCGCCTTGAGCATACTTGAGCAGAAAAGGTGGGATACAAATCAGAAAACAGACAGGAATGGCCTTCGGTCTGGTCCAAGAGGGTTCTTCCTGCATTCGTCATTAGTTTGGCAGCTAATAGCAGCAGCAGCACATTTCCTTTCCCACTCCACATTTCCTGCAACATGGCACACTGTCAGCACATGCCATATCGATCTGCCCTGCCTTGATGTCCATCTGGTATTTGGTCCCTGGAGGCCATGCTGCATCCTGAGCCTTTGGGAGACCCGTTGGCAATAAATAGACAGCACTGGGTTAGATGGGACATGACCAGACTCTGTACTGGACAGTTTCATATATTAGCTGCATGATCTCAAGGGGAGTCTGAGAAATACTGTCCTATCACTTCCCTCTTAGTTTTGTTATAACTTTCCATATGTTTAAATCAATTCACCTAAATATCAGCCCACCTTTGTTCCTCCTGTTCTTGGGAGACTTAGCTGTCTTGCATAAAAACTTGACAGGCAGTTTTGGAATTCCATCCTTCAGCCACATGCAATTTAAATTCCTGGTTGGATCCCAAGAAAGGAAGACTATTTCATGCAGGGGTTTGAATAGAATTTTCTGATTTCAACAATCAAGTTGGCAGGGGGGGTGATGAGATTTGTATCCCAACATACCTGAAGGGTCCCAGATTGGGGAAGGCTGCTCTTCCATGATGGGAGAGCCCCGAAGGGAGGCAGTGTAGTCCAGGACTGAGAGATCTATGAGGTGTGGCTGTTCAGGCTTTTATTCCCACAACCATTTCCCACCCTCCATGTCCTAGGTCAGTGGCAGGTGCGGCTGACAGGTGGGCCAGGATCCTGTGCCGGACGGGTGGAGGTTCTCTATAAAGGCCACTGGGGCACAATCTGTGATGACGGCTGGGACCTGGTAGATGCGGCTGTGGTATGCCGGGAACTGGGCTGTGGGGCTCCTCTTCTCAGCCCTGGCAATGCACGGTATGGGCCTGGATCTGGACCTATCTGGCTGGACGATGTCAACTGCACGGGCGCTGAGTTCACCCTGCGACGCTGCCGCTCCCAGCCCTGGGGGAAGCATAACTGTAATCACCACGAGGATGCATCCGTCATCTGCACAGGTAAGGAACTACCCATGATTGGTGGGATCATCTGTTGGGTTTCTGGGAATGACAGGATGTGTAATATTCCAGGCAGAGAGCAGCAAGTGGTTGTTCTGGTCCGAACATACAAATGATAGAAAGAATGCTTCTTGGTGGGTATTAGTAAACAACTTAACTAGGTTAAACCCAGTTTCTCTTGCTAAGTTTGGGGGTGCTCAAGTGAACATGTTATTCTGAATATATGCAAACCTATTTTGGTTTTATACCAACTTAACTAACAATGGTTTCTGAGAATTATATTTTGCAGAGAATATTGAACATTAGCAGAGATTTATCAGCCTGCTGTAGTTATCTGGAGAGAAGGAATGGGTGTTATAGGTGTTAAAGTAATTTTAGTCTGTGATGTAGGTATACCTTTTCTGTTTTCAGGCAAATGGAAGCGTCTGTCATTGTCAAAGCCATCCAAAGGTCCAAAGATTGTAAAAGCTGTCACCACCACACATGATCCAAGGCCTGCAGAAAAACCAGGGCTCCAAAACAATCTGGATGTGTTTGAAACTACCACAACCACTCAAGGTTTTACAGATGAATGGGCAACAGAGTCACTCAGTCCATGGCATCTTGGAGCACCAGTACAACCCACACAAAAAGTGGACCTTGAACCAGAAAACAAGACAAGGCCAGTAAGCCATTTGGACAGAGCTGAAACAACCCCTAATCCAGAAATCTTGCAGCATGTCCAGGAACCATTATCCACGGAATCCTCAAAAACAAGGTCAACCACACATGCATGGGAACATGACTCCTACTCCCCCTCAGCCAAGTCTCAGCCATCCTCAGAGATGTGGAGTCTGGAATCTGAAAGAGAAACTGAACTAACAACCTCTGGGGAAGTGGATAAACCAATGTCTAATTCAGAGAACCTGCTGCATGTTCAAGAAATAGTGTCAACCCCAAAGACAAGATCTACCATGCACACATGGGAACAAGAGTCCACCTACCCCCCAGCTGAGTCTCATCCAACCTTAGCCATGTGGGATCTAGAATCTGAAAGAGAAACAGAGCCAATAACTGCTGGGGACATGAATAAACCAACGCCTAATCTAGAGATCCTGCAGCATGTTCAGGATATGGTATCAACCCAAAAGTCAAGGTTAACCATGCACAAATGGGAACAAGAGCCCACCTCCCCCTCAGCTGAGTCTCAGCCATTCTCATCCTTGGGGGATCTGGAATATGAAAGTGAAACAGAACCAAGCATTGCTGGGGACATGGATAAACCAACGCCTAATCTAGAAATCATGCAGCATGTTCAAGGGATGAAATCAACAACACCAGAGACCAGGTCAATCATACAAATATGGGGACAAGAGCCCAACTATCCCTCAACTGAATCTCAGCCATCCTCAGCTATGTGGAATTTGGACTCTGAAAAAGAAAGAGAGCTAACGACCACCAAAGACTTGGATAAATCAGTGCCTAATCTAGGGATCCTGCAACATGTTCAGGAGATTGCATCAACACATCCGTCAAAGACAAGCCCATCCACACATGAGCAGGTACAAGCTGTGCAGGATTTGAAGTCTGAGGGAGAACATAAGCCAACAAGCTCATCAGTAACAGTCCTGCCAATAGTTACACAAGACCTAAAGCCTACAGCAGAAATGCCACCAACTATCTCTTGGGACCGTATATCTGAAGTGCCCCCAGTTATCCAGGACACAAAACCCACCAGGTCCTTAGCTGAAGTTCAGCCTACAGCTGCCACATGGGACCCAGAACCTGGGAAAGAGAGGGAAGCAACCAGCCATGTAATAAAGGAACTATTCCTGTTCTCAAAGAGCCTGGAGACTACAAAGGAGAAGGAATTGCCAACAGTTGCACAGAATGTATTATCTATAACACAGATGGGAACAATTGATCCCAACATTCTAGACTCTGAGAAGAACATAGATAAGAAGCATCAAGAGGAATCAAATGTGGATGCCTTCTCCGTGGGGCCCATAGGTGAGGAACCACCCCAGTGCCAGATCTAGGATTTTGTAGGTTCCCTGCTCAGTTGGCCTCCTCTTAGTATGGGCAGTTCCTGTTCCTCACCATCAGAGGGAAACAACAGGCAGGTGGACTGGAGGAAGTGGTGAAGCAGTAGCTTCCATCTGGCTCACTTACCAGTGGGAAACCAAGTCCACTGTGGAACAAAATCCCACTGAAGGAGCAAGCATGGCTCAGGAACTGATATAGTGGCAGCTAGCTGATGGCAGCTGGCTTTTCAATTATTCCCTTCTCTGCTTCACCAGCCTGCTCATCTGCCTGAAGGAAAAGCAGCAAATGGGGCACAAGGCAAAGGAAAGACAAAAAGCACATATAACTCTAACAGTGCAGGGGCTACTCACTTAGCTGGTGGTTCTCCTTCTCCTTGCAGTGACAGCAGCTTGGGGGAATCTTTTAGCAGTCCGCAGTGGGCTCTTGCCAGGACATGTGCTCTGCCCAAATTCCATGAAAAACACTGCCCTAGAGAAAAGGAAGCCAGCTCCCTAATTCAGAAGAACCTCCTTGTCCAGGATCCCCACCACTGCTGCTACCTCCAGGGCTCAAATACCACCTGTTTTCTGGATTCTGTGCTTTGGTTTGGCTTTCAGTTCTGAGTCTAATTAACCACATTCTCATTCTTCAATTTCACCAGGTTCCACCTCTGCTTTCAAGGACTTGAGCTCTTTGAAAGGAACAGATGTTTACACTACGACCAAATTGCCCCGAGGTGAAGTTTCAATGGAGGAGCAATTTGAGGATGGTTTAGTGAGCTCAGGAGACACGGAAACCAGAATAAGTGAGTATCAGAGACCAAGATGTACTGTTAAGACAAGGAGAAGGGAGGGTGTTACAGCACTCAAGTCTTACTTGTGGCTTTCTCACAGGCAGCTGGTTCCCCAATGGGTGAACAGAATGCTGGACTGGATAAATCACTATCTCATCCAGCATGGCTCTTCTTATGAACGTGTTCTGACAGCTTTCCTCTACTGCAGAGCATCACATGCTATTTTCTCCTCTCCTGCATCTGTCAGAAGCAAAGGGGCCTTCTCAGGAAAGGAACTGGCAGCTTAATGATCATGTGCCCTAGACAGGTTCTTGCTTAAAAACCTCTCCTTACTTTGCATGGATCCTGCAGCAAGGAACCTCAGACTAGAACTCCGATTGCCCCACTGGCTGGACTTAAATGTAAGAGAAGGAGAAGGAATTCCTCCTTATTTAGGTCATTTTTTACAAGAATTTCCCTCTTTAGTGCCCCTCTAGCTGTGCTCATTGCCAACAGCCAAAATCTACCTCCATGATGCTTTCATAGTTCAGTGGACTGTACAACTGCACTACATGCAGACTCTACCTGGGGCAATTCTCTGTGGCTGCTGGGGAATGGCTCCAGAAACATGTTACAAAGATTGGTTCTTTTCTGTCTCTCAGATGATGTGGATTCTACCTCCATACCAGGCCTGTCTGCAGTACCAGGTCCAAACGTACCGACTGCCAAACCTGTCACCCATGCCACTATGTTCAGTGAATCATCTTCAGGCTGCCCTATTAAGCAGGAGTCAAAGAAAGAAGATCAGGGCTGCTGCTGCTGCTCGCCACCTGCCCTGGGAAGCCTGGCCCAAGCAATGGAAGGTCTCCGTGGAGAACTGGGCTCTCTCTCCATGGCTGTTCAGCATCAGGGCTCCCAACTGGGGGCTGTTGCCCACAGTCTGGCTGAACTGGCAGCTTCTGTGCACCATCTGGTGGAGGCGCTGCCTACCCTATTGCAGCCAGTCTCAACCCAGGCCTCAGCTTCTTGTAAGCAGGATGAGGGTCAGCTGCAAAACCAGCTGCCCTTGAAATGAAAAGGGAATTTCCCATAAGAAAAGGAAATTGGCGCTCAGGCCAGACAGGGCTAGAAGGGACCGAAAGGCTTATTCTGCCATGAGAAGGGTTCATCCCCAAGAGCAGCCTGTGTGATCCTATTCGGTATGTCACAAGCAGAGATCACCTGCATCGCAGAAAGAGACTGTAGGAGAACCACAGCTCAGTGGTGATGGGTCTTTGGTTAAGGACAATCTATTTTTAAGCTAAAGAAGTTAATTAGCAGTAGAAGGTGAGAATGGTAAAATAGGAAAATCCTGCAAGTTCCCCAGGAGAATGCATGAGGGTGACTTACCTGGTATTGTTAAGACAATAGGGGTGGGAGAGGTTAGGTTATTCTTGTAAATTCTTATCAAACATAACCCCTTGTTTGTAGTGTTCAAAGGTGCATTAGCTTTCAGTAGTACCAGAACATCTGCTAGAATGTTGCCACATTCTGTTTTTCTTAAGAAGACCAGAAACCAAAGGGATTGGTGAAATAAAAGTAAACATGACATGGTCATTCCCATTATAAAAATGCAGAATCAATATTCACATCAGTGCTTGGAAAATGACTTGACCATGTTACTGATTGTACAATTTTCTGATCAGGGTTATCTATTAAAATATATGGAATGTTAACAGGATTCATGGATCCTTCAAAGCTCATTTCCTGTAATACGGCCACTGAATCTATGCAATAAAATGGCTTTCCTTTGTATGACTCTGTTTCTGTGCAAAAAGATCTAGCCTGGGGAGGACTGGAAGGGGCAGCAGTCCTTTAGTCCGTCCAGAGAAATACATAGCAGATAATTATAGATGGCATGACCAAGTGCTAGCAAGAAGTGTACGCTTCTCTCCAGAATTGGTGCTTTATCTTTCACAGCTGCTCCTTCTCTGATCTTGCATAACTCTCCTATATTATTTATTTAAAAGTTTTTTAAAGATGCATTTCAAGAGCAAACTGCCTTTACAAGGCATCTTACAAGATGCTACATGAAAATCCATTCCCAGTTTCTACATTTAAGCCACAAAATTTAGTGAAAACAAAGCTGATTTTGGAGAACTGGGCAAACTGCAGAGTGTAAGTACTCAAAAGTACAAAAATGAAGTGCAAGTGGCCACAGTGGATGATTCTTGTAGTAATAAGCAGGATGGTATCTCCTCAAGTCAAAAGCTAGTGCCTTGTCAGCATCTGTGATAGCTTAGCAATTCTTGGCCTCTACTATCAAGTTCACGTAAATGTGGCTGCACTACAGTATATGGCTTATTGTACGAGGAGTCTTCAAAGAGTTTCTGCACTTTTATATTTTATAAATATTTTTCATATATATTTTTGCTGATTGCATTAAAAAGTAGGTACAATGCTGGGAAAAATGCATTGCAAAGGAAGGTGACTATGTAGAAAAGTGATGTAATTTGTTTTTGAAATTCTTAATGTGTGGAAACTTTTTGAAGAACCCTTGTATGATATTCAGCTATTGGATGCTACAGGTACCTAATTAATAATATTTATAATGCTTCAACTATGTATGTATGTATACACATACACAGAGAAAGAAAGGGAGAGAGAGAGTGACAGAGAGTTATGTTTTCTTTACATTGAAAGTCAGCTTCTTTAGCTCTATCTATTTAACAGAGGACAAGTGCTCCAATTTTGATAGATGACACAGTGGAGATTTGATATGCTTCTATTCAGATTTAATTTTAACTGAGGTCTTTAAAAAAAAAAGTAATATCTGTGTGTAAGAGAGGGTAAGTGAGACCCCCAGGACTCACTGGGTCAAGTCATCCTCATGCAATGACGGTAGATTCCCAAGCAGCTATGGTGAAATGGGAGGCTGGCTGACAGGGCTTCCAGTCAGTGAGGTTAAGCTTGCCCACCTCGGGGAGAGGGGAACTGCCTCAGCGATCGCTGGGGCTCATCCTGAGCAGACTATTACGATCTGGGAGGTAGCATGAGGGAGACTGGAAGGGGGAGAGGGAATTGCTGAATGCCAAGAAGGCAGAGGATCCCTTCTGCAGCCCCCTGCCCAGGCTTCCTTTGGCAAGGAGTCTGGAAGGACCCAGCAGGGAATGATGAAAGAACTTCTGGCCTGTCCAAACCTGGATCTAATTCCTGGCATGGAAGCACAGAAGAAGCCTCAGGTGGAGAGGGTCTCTCCCACAGGAAGAGACAGCCTTCGCCCAAGGAGCCATGCCACCAGAAGGGCAAGTACTTCAAACCAAGACTGTTGGACATTTTGAAGATGCAAAGCTGGGAGGAGGGGAAGGCAGGCATATGTCTTTACCCTGAGAGAGAACTTCTACACTGGCTGGGCTTCAGTGTGGTAACTAGAGGAAAAAATTATAAATAAAGGCTGTTTGCATTTACCTTGAGAGTCTTGCAGATATGGAGGCTATGGAAGAAGGTGGGCAATGTAACCCTCCCTGAGGAAGGGTTCACATTGTGCTTTTAAAGATCCAATTTAAAATTGCAATACCTTTGTGTAAAATTTTCTTAAAAATCTGGTCTACTCTATTTCATTTTTTCTTTTTTAGTTTATATGTTCAATTTTAAATGCTTTAATAATTGTAGTTTTAATATTGTATTTTAGAATTTTATATTATGTAAGCCGTCCTGAGCGCTTCCCTGGAAAGACGGGATATAAATGCTTGTAATAAATAAATAAATACTCATCCTGGTTTTCAAAAACCTGAACTAGGGAGACTTCAGCAAAGATGCTAGAAGAGTGAAAACAAAAACAGGTTACTTCTACAGTATGACCTTTTAGTACAATTAGCACACACTGCTTTACCACAGTTGGTGAACAATGGAACTCCGATGATGCTTGCAAACAGCACAGAGCACATTATTTCTATTAGCAGTGCCTTTCCCACAACCAAATGCCCTTCTATGTAACCCACATCAGCTGGGTTAGCATGTCATGGAGGGTGGAATAAGCCATGGTGGGTCTATTCCTACCCCAACCCCTCTTACAAGTATCAGTTGCTTACTTTCACAGGGAAATATGTCTTCATGCCTGCATATGTGCCTTTGAAGAAATCAGGGTGGGCCCTATCAAAGCAAAAAAACCTTTGAAAAGGAGCTGGAGTTTTGACACCTCCATTTAAATAGGGGTGGCTCACAGTTTTCCATGTTTCCAAGCACCCAGACAGACACAGGAACAAGAAGGGAAGTGAGAGTATTCTTAGGACACTGCCCAGGAGAGAGTGCCATTTTCAGTCATCCATAAGTGTACACACGTGTGAAAGGCTATAAATAAATAAAGTGTGCAAGTATCTGTGCATATTGAAGGGTGTCAGAAGTAAAAACAACATGGCTTTTCATCAAGGACAAGCCCCTCCAAGATGCTGCTTATGTACTTTAAGGTCTTCTCTGTGGCTGTCACAATGGGGATCATGAAAGCTGGCTGTCAATCTGGCTTTCATGATCACAGAAAGATAAAGAAGATGAAAGTGGAAAGGTTAAAATTGTAAGCAAAAACAGCTTGCAATCATGGCAGCAGATACCTGGCCAATGCCATTCATCCCCAGATGCCATTCAGGCACTTGAGAGCTGGAGCACATTGGCAAATGCCTGGGCAAGCTTGGTGAAAATGGGAAGGAGTTTTTGCTGCTCTTGCTAATTCCTAGTGCCCACAATGGGGCAGGTTGCCCAGGTTCAGATGACACAGCAACCCATCATGGCTACAACAATCTCTGCAACACTCAATGGATTGTTAGCATGGCTTGCTTGAACAGGCTGTTCTGCAGGAACTGGGTCTGGATTATATGAAGCCTGTCATCCATAATGGGAACCCAGTCGTTGATCTAGTGGGGCTGTGGAAGGAATGAAATTCCAGGACAAACACCTAGCCACGAAGCTTTCTTCCTGCCATCTTTCCAAATACCTTTGGGATACTGAAGGTTGCAGGAATGAGTTCCTGGAAAGGTTCATTGTATTGCCAACTGCCTGGTCAAACGACATCCTGGCTGAGCCACAGCCAGGAAACTAAATTCTGAAACTGTCCACCAGGTGGCATTCCAAGAACTTGATACAACTCAAGGTCTGCAGCTGAAGTTCCACAAGTTTCTTCATGAGGCACCTAAATCTACCCATAACAGAATTGTAATACTTCTTTAAGTAGTCACTGTATTATCCAGTTGGATTGACAGACAGAGGACTGACCTTAGGAGATAAAATGCCATCTACTTTACTAATATTTGTTAGTTAGGGGCCTGCCTGACCTTATCCTGCTCACATTAGTTTGTAAAGTGCCAGTTATTTTGGTAGAGCTATGAAAATAAGAAAATAACATGAACGTTTTTAACTGAACACTACTTTAGCTTGATTTTTTTAATGTGAAATCAAGAAGCATGGATTTCCTCATGATAATTCACTCAGGAGCTTCTCTGTTCAGAGGTAGTCTATCTCTCATACCTAGAAGCTAGGGGCAGTACAGGATGACTAAATCTATCCTGCACAATTTAAGTTTTCCATAGGGGATTTAGCTGACCACTATTGAGAAACAAAATATTGGACTTTGGGGCTGATCTAACACACAGTTCTGCTAACCTAAGGATGGGTTACTTTTCCCACTTGCTCCAATGGACAGAACTTAAGATGTATTTGCTTTTGAATTTTAATCTCTGTCTGCTGGAGAATTAATGGAATTGCTCTCTTCCAGTTTTGACCATAGATAAATTCTGAAACAGTTCAGTGCCCACAGAACTTCACTAATCAACAATGGATCAACAAATCTTATCAACAAACTTGACTTGATGTTTAAAAAAATAGTCCAAATGATACTCTTCATTTTTCTTTCTTTAAAGATACTCATAGGTGCAAGTTAGAGGCAAGAAAAGGGCCCCAACAAAATCTACTGGCCAAAGCTGCTGACAGCAAAGCTGGATTGCGAGGCAATTTATTCATTTTCCAAGGATCTTTAAGGGACTTTCTACATGAATTATTTATTGTATGGTAATAATTTCCTACTTACGGTTGTTCATGGGCTCTTTAGATGTGACACTCCAGTTTTTGTGTCTACTGCTACACTTCCAGCATTTTTTAAAGTCAAAGAAACTACTTTTCCATTTTGCATTGTTCCACAGCATCACAGTGCCACCTAGAGGTCATGTAGTAGAAAAGCAGGCAAGGAAATGCTCCTCATGTAGAGCCCAGTTCTTAAATATGCAACAAAACCAAAAGTAGATACAGTGGATTAACCATGTTTATCAGCCTTGTGGAGCAATGCTGTACAGCTGCAGAAGCTGAAAGACATAGTGAAGATTCCCACCACCATCTCTGACATGGGGAAAGGTACAGAACATATGGAAGTTTTTTGAAAATTTGGGAACTTCTAGCTGACTGGTAGGTAGAAATCCTAAACCATAATTATTTTTTCCTTGGAAACTGGGCAAAACACATAATTGTGGCACTGGCTATGATGCTGGGGAATGAGCAGCAGAGTTGTGACTTCACAATAGGGATAATATTGATGACATCACTGTGACATAGGTTACATCAGAATAACTTAGTGTTAAAAGCCTATTTAGTTATACAGTCAGTCCTCTGCAGTTGAGATATAAGTTCAGGCAGGATTTAGTTATTAGTGGAGAAGCTGGCAGTAGAACTGGAGCTAGCAACTAGACATCGATAAATCAAGGATGTCTGGTCATCAAAGGGCTAGGATGTTCTTAGAGTTCCCAGCTTAAATTGCCATCTGCAGCCAGAGAGATAATGGAAGACAAGAACAATGTGATCCAAGAAACAGTGCACAGACATGCCTGTTGCAATGAGAACAAACAGAGGGAAAGCAAAAGATACTGTTGAGAAGATTAGCTATTGTAGGTTTTGAAGCTGGAGTGTGGGTGAAAAAACACCCATGGAGTTCAATACATACAATGCCATGGTCAAGTGTGAAAAGGTTTAACTGTGGAGCCCAAAATGCTGAACGTTTGAATGCTGTTTCTGGTAGCTGGACTTGAAAGTTTTGAAGATCAGTTCCTTGTATGTGAGATTATTGAGAGGACAATGTGTAGATTTCCAGCACAGAGGAATGAGTTCTGCGGTGACTACCCTGACTACCACTGTGTGTTGACAGCTGCAAAGTTTCTGTTGAAGTTATAACAAGTTTGATACAGATTATGGCTGCAGCACACCTAACTAAAGAGCCAGTTCCACTGAACACAGCGTGCCTCACTTCTGAGCAAACACACGGTAAGTTGGTTACTCTCAGGTCCCCCTTAGAAATCAATGGGACATGTTAGGATTTAAGCTCCACTGATTTCAGTGGGAACTCTGCACAACTAATTTTGGATGCTTCCAGATAATGCTTTTATTATGAAATCTCCCAGCTTTATTCAAGGGATTTTACAAGGAGTCTAGACATCTTTCTCTTCAATGGAAACTCTCCTATGTTTTGCTTTTACTTCTTACCAGAAAATAATCTGGTAAGGAAGAAAAGACAGAATAGCTTCACTGTGTTTTAATTGTTCATGCTAGGAGACCTTTGTTTGAAAGTTGGTGTATCAGACATACCCTCTCAATTCCTGTTTTTTCATGACTATCTAGATGTTTGAGAGGGTCTTTATATATCATAATGAAACAAGTCAGAAATATTGTAAGCATGAAAACATCTGGGTACCATGATTTTGTGATACTTTGGTTTGCCCTAATGTAGGTATTCTTATCTTTTCCCCTCTGGGCTAACATAGAATCATCGAATCATCAAATAGTAGAGTTTTAAGGGGCCATGAAGGCCATCAGGTCCAACCTCCTGCTGTTGCAGGACACCATGTTACACCATCCCACCCATGTCTTTCCTATGGAAATAGAGGTGTTGGTTTGTTTATTGATTTGCTTTATTAACTGGATATAGTGTTTGAATGTCAGATAAATCTTCAACAGATTCAATTGTGCTTGGATTTTTATAATTCTTTGTTGATTCTGTAGTACACCAGCTTCTTCTAAGCCTTGGTGGGAACTTGTGCTACTCTGCATTAGCACATTTGTGCAAGTGTGCACTTGTGCTAATGCACATTTCAGTTCCAATTGTCATTTTCATTAGCCCAGGTAGAACAAAAATTTGGTTAAAAAATTTGGTTCCTCAATGAACAGACACTGGAAAAAAACTCTCCCAGCTATCTATGAAACACAGACAAACAGATTTAGCAAAATCTGTCCATGCCTGTTATGATGGCACCATATCTTTCCTTTCAAATCCAGCTCTAAGAAACTTTCATTTTTCATCTAGGTTGGGAATGGGGTGGTATATAGACTCTGAGCACAACCCATTGACCCCACACTGAGGACTCGGACAGCTGCATTATATTTAGCACAGCGATTAGAAAATGAGAGGCGTGTCAGGTGCAGCTGCTCTTCAGGGATGGGGGAAAAGAGAGGTGCTAATTCACTCCGTCATGGGCTGGGAGTGGCAGCCCAGGTGCTGTGAGAAGCTCTGATAAGGACAGAACTGCTGTTCAATAAGCTGGTGGCCCCACTGGGGCCTTGCACCTGACCCCATTATGTAAGGGCTCATTAACAACTAATCCAGCCACCTGTCCCTGCCTTGAGGGGACCAGGGGTGCCTGCACTGGTACAAAGTTCTATTGCATTGCGCACTACAAGGGTATGTGTGGCGGGAAGGCTGATGTTGGAAACATGGCTGAAAAAGAGACCCTGCATTATCTAGCCTCCCTGCTTGATCTGGAAGGCTGCTGTAATGTTTCTTCCCTTTCTCTTAATGAAACACTACTTTCCCCAATTCCTTAAAAAGGATGGCAGGGAAACGGGAAAAAAACATGTAGAGAAGACTTGGTAAGAGATGTTTGGGGGCAGGCATGTGGAGTGTTTTGGAAACAAGGATTAGATGCTTGTAATAGGTACTGGATCTCCACTGCTCTCAGCATTAACTTCAAGCTTCTAGATTTCACCTTTAAAACTCCCCCAAAGGGTGTCCAGTAACAGTTTTTCTCTTGTTCTTCACTATAAGCCATTTCTGTCAACCCAATTTCTTGTCCTTTCTTCCAATCTACCTCCTCACCCTACCATGGAATAGCTGCTTTTGCCTCTTTGTTTTACCTAGTCTCTTCTCAAGACCTACTTCTTCGTCTCCTCAGTTTCTTTCCTAGCTTCACCTTGGCTATTTTTCAATTCCAATTGTCATTTTCTTCCATTTCTGCAACTAATTTCCCCATCCCTATTCTTTTGTATATCTTTGTCTTATCTGTCTTTTCTAAGCAAATAATGCAGAGTATTCAGATGAGACCTGGCACTTGAAGAATGAAAAAAAATCAAAGTAACTGAACACATTAAAAAATCCAAAGTAGCTAGTACTTACCCATTTGTGCAATTAGGGGAAAGGTCTTCCAGAATATATCATATTACATTGGGTTTTCATAATTGAGACTGGGTTCAGATAACACAACAACCCACACTCGGGTGGGGGTATGACTTTAACATGGGCTGTTGATGTATGATGGGTTCCCTGTTGAAATATAGGTTGTTATGTTGTCTGAATCCAGCTGTGTGAACAAGCCATGACTTGTCATCATGAACAACCCATGAAGAGAACCCATTGTTGCTCAGTTCAGAACTGTGGGTTGCGCACTACAGTTTGTTTTTTCACTTGGTTCACACAACATGATAAGCTACTTTTTAACAATGATTCACAGTGATAACCCACATTCAACCCTTGTTGTACTGTAGTCTGAGCATAGTTTTAGGTTATAAGTTCCTTAAGTGCTGGGGTCCATTCAGTTTTGCCTAACTTATAACATTTTAGAGTTGGACAGGATCCTGGCCATCTAGTCAGCTTAATCACAGATCCTCAGTGAAGGATCTGCATTGAAAGATTCCACTACTGTATCCCTGACAAATGACCATCCATCCTCTGCTTAAATCCTTCCAGCATTATATCCTAAGGAATCTGTAAGGTGCCATGTACACTGAAGGTGTGTCATCATCATCCACACAAGCTTAAACTCTGATGCTTCCCATTTTAGAAAGTAAGCCCTGTTGGACAGTGTATTGGCAGGTTACTAAGCAGCTATCAACAAATTCCCCCTCCTCCCCCGCACCCAGCAAAACACCCCTCCGGAGCCAGTAATGTGTCAGCAAGGCTATTCTTCCCAGTGATGACACTGTCAGCACACACAGTGTTCTGTACAATCCATCCTGCGGGCCATACTTGAAAGTAAGTGTACTAATCCTGATAACAGCATTTAGAGGCTATGCTCCAGGTTTACACATGGCGCAGGTACAAAGCAGCAACTCCTACGTACCATGAGAAAACAGACACCAATGCAATAAAAGGCAGCCAGCTGGAAGATATGGATGCCCTGCTCTCTGCTTTCCCCAAGGGTAGCCCCCGAGGAACAGATGCCTGGGCCTGCTTCTGGAGTGTTGTGGAACATCCTTCTGTCATCAGGCCTTCGCTTGGCAGGGCCACACAGAGGGCTATTTACAGCACAACACGTCTATTTATACCTGCTACTCATCCACCCTCTCTGCTTTGCACTGCCCCGTGGCTGTTTCATTCCTTCTCACAGCTCCTGGAGACGTCACTGGGAAGAATGCTGCTATCTCTTCCGTGGTGGGGAAGGGAAAGGGATGCCACTGTTGGCTTTAGCGGTACCCAACAGGGGCCTCTGCAATACCCATGCAGGCAACTGTGGCCTTACAAGGGAAAGTGTCTATGCAGGGCCTAAAAAGAACAGTAAGCTGGCCGAATTGCTGCAATGCTACATGGTCAGCCACTCACCGATCAATTAAGCATAAAGGGTGATGTGCAACCAATGTCAGACCTTTAAGCCCTAACTAAGGGAAAAAAGATCTGTATATTTCCAGGATGTGGAAGCATCTGACATATCTTGTTATGTCCCTGATAATCAATAGAACGTTCTATATTTTACATGGAAACAATGCATGGCAGAATCTAAAAAAATAAACAGAGCGGACACACTAAAAGATTCCCATGCTCAAACCATATTTACCTTAGAAATCCCAGGAAGTCAACTTCCCCTCATCTAATCACTAAAACTCTCCTTTAGAAAATCAAGGAATCTTCTAGGCTGTTCTCTGCTGTGAATTCTGCACATTAGCTTAGTGGCATGTCACCTTCTTTCCCTGCTTCCCACAGGTATTTAGGAAAGGGACTGCTGCGTACTCTTGTAAATTCAGTTCACTTTTCAACCCCCACCCCCAAAATCCACTGGATTATGGATTCCTCTCTACAATAGACAACCATGTACCAACTATCCCAATCTCAGCTTACCATATATAAAATGGAAACAATCATGACCTAAGAAATGTTGAATGGACACAGTGGTTGAAACCATTTTGTAAATGAAAGAATATATATCAATTTATAGGAAGCAAAACTTGCATATTTTGTTGAGCCCAAAGTCATATTTGAATTCCAGGTGGCTATCATGTTAGCAAGCAGGAAAAGTATTTCTTTATTGCGGAAAAAGTTCTCATGGTCTAGACCTTGCTTCATCAATGCATGATCTGATTCTCAGAGTATGCGTAGAACACATGCACAAAGAAAAAAAAATGTAAATCGTAGGCTGCAACCTTAACGAAATGCAAGATGAAAAGTCTGATATTTTTTTCTATACAACACACTAATGTGGTATCAGATAAGCACAGTGGCCAGATATATCTTGTGAGGGGTCAGTGAAAAGAACAGAGAATTCTGATTTCTAATTGTTTCAGCAATGTCTGTGAGGTGTGTGGATGCTTACATTTAGAGTTGTTTGGAAGGTGCAAGGTTGAAGAAATCCATCTGGATTCTCACTGCTGAGAAGGCTATAGCATCTAGAGGTTAGATTTTGGACAGAAATTAGGCCAGATTCTTCCCTCCATGTGGCACAGCATGTAGCAGCCAGAATCAGTGAATTCATGAAAAAGAGAAATGCCAGATGTTTAGCCTATCTGAAAATCATTGTTCTGTAATCTACCACAGCATTCCAGAGGTGGATAGGGTAGGGTTTAGCAGGGACTGACAAATCATGCTGCATGGGATTGTGACTTTCTCTTCAAGAGTTATTTATTGTCTGTTCATGATCCCTCACTCAATTTGCAAGGTATTTCCCCACATGGCCTCCTCCTAGGGTCTCTCCTATGCTAAATAACCATTCTCATGGCTTTTCATAGAGCAAGGAAGGTCAGTACTTTCCTAGATGGTGCCATTACTTGCTACAAAAATGTTACGT